GCCCAGCCTGTAGCTGTGCCTGGGGTTGCCCTGACCCAGGTGTAGGACCTTGCACTTGTCTTGGTTAAACTTCATGAGGTTGGTACTGGCCCACCGCTCAAGCATGTCAAGGTCCCTCTGGATGCCATCCCTTCCCTCCAGTGTATCAACCAAACCACACAGCTTGGTGTCATCGGCAAACTTGCTGAGGGCGCACTCAATCCCGCTGTCCATGTCACCGACAAAGATGTTGAACAACATAGGTCCCAGCATCGATCCCTGAGGGACACCACTTCTTACTGGTCTCCAATTGGACATTGAGCCGTTTATCACAACTCTTTGCGTGTGCCCATCCAGCCAGTTCTTTATCCACCAAGTGGTCCATGCATCAAATTGATGTCTCTCCAATTTAGAGACAAGGATGTCGTGCAGGACAGTGTCAAACGCTTTGCACAAGTCCAGGTGGATGACGTCAATTGCTCCGCCGCTGTCCATCAGTTCTGTAGCCCCATCACAGAAGGCCACCAAATTGGTCAGGCAGGATTTCCCCTTAGTGAAACCATGCTGGCTGTCACCAACCACCTCATTGTTTTTCATGTGCCTCAGCATTCTTTCCAGGAGAATCTGCTCCAAGATTTTGCCAGGCACAGAGGTGAGACTGTCTGGTCTGTAGTTCCCCAGGTCTTCCACCTTCCCCTTCTTGAAAATGGGGGTTGCATTTCCCTTTTTCCAGTCATCAGGAACTTCACCTGACTGCCATGATTTTTCAAATATGATGGACAGTGGCTTAGCAACTTCATTCACCACCTCCTTCAGGACCCACGGATGGATTTCAGGACATGTGGATGATGTGGATGATTCAGTTGAGTTATGTACATTAATGAACCTATAGAAGCTTTTCTTGTTGCCCTTGTCATCCCTGGCCAAACTAATTGCTGGAAATGGTATACTGGGGCAGGATTTCTCAGTAATATGGTCACTATGCATCTTTTATGAACCTGATGCCTGACACCTGGCTGGGTTGAGGTCCAAAATCAAGCAGCACACTGCTAAGGAAGGGGCAAGGAGGCAGTGATAGTAGAAGGAACACGGAAGAGAGAATGAAGACACTCAAACATAAAAAAAAAAAAAAAAAAAATCCAAATCAAACCAAAAAACAGCTTACAGGAAGAAGGTATTACCCTTATACTCTGTATTTCTTATATGTATTTTCTAAGCACCCACTGCTGGTCACTGCTGGAGACAGGATACTTGCTTCAAATAGCCTTTGGTATAGGAAGTTTTTATAGCCTTCAATATTGTAAAGTAAAAAATCACATTATATCTCAGGAATCACCAGTCTTACAAACAGAACTCTCTACATGGTCTCTAGTAACTTATGAGTAACTCCAAAATGGAAATAAAAAAATTTTCTTTGTATTATGTCTTGCATACTATAAACGTAAGCATTATTTTTCTGAATAAATTGTTTTCCTGATCATCATGATGCAGACCTTACACTTCACTTTACCTAAAAGGCCTTCAAAACATTCACACCACCTTTTCTGGTTTTCTTTCAGAATTGCACAGTGTAAGGCAAAACAGTACAAAACATGAAAATAATCACCAATATAAGAAAATATGATCTGTATGATATTGCTGCTAAGAGTGCGTAAGTCTTCTACTAATTATTGACAGCAAGCATTCGCATTTTAGCTCACTTCTAATTATATTTACATACATGTATAGAATGGTGAAAGTTTATGGTGCTGGAAGTTACATTACCATTTCACTTTTCTGGAAACAACCTACAATTTCCTTACTACTAAACAAAATAACGTATAAATACAATTATCATTCAGACATGATGATATTTAAGGAAAACTCAAATAATGCAAATAAAGAAAAAAAACCCCAAAACCAAACTGATTTAAATGTGAATGTTTATGTCATTCAAAGTTACAAGCAGCAAATAAATGAATCTACTTCTCCTCCAGTGTCTTTCAGATGTACTCTTATGTGCAAAACAAAATGTGCAAGATGAACATTCTTTTAATGAAAGAGGAAATTGGAGAAACGTGCAATTCTTCATGGATTCCTGCCAGTACCTGTCTCCTCTGTCTCTACTGTTTCCAGGGTTGCTGGAGATGCAGAAACACATTTTTCTCTCTAAGAAAATTGAGCCTACATATTCCCTGAAATTCCCTCTCAAAATTAATAAATCCCCCTTGTATCCACCTACTGTCCTTGTGTGGGACAGCTACACTATTCTTTGTAAGAGTTGTTAATAATATTTATTGTAAATTACTATTGTATTTACTTTAGTGCTAGCTTATATTTCTGTATGATGAATTTAAAGAGACACTGCACACACAAGAGACTTGTTGCCTGCACTATCCACTCCGCAAGCTGCTACCATCATTTCACTTCTGTCTACTCAAATATCTCACTGAGCTTTTTCAACTTCTTAGGTTTTATGTCCATTACGTCCTGGCCTTTGTGCAGGCACAAATATACAACTGTATATAATACAAATACATTTGTATTATATCTGTGTAATACAAATACTGTACTTGTACTAGTCTGATGATTGCTGTATGTGATCTGCCCAATGACATGGTCAGTGTATCAATACACTGGATTAATCAGACTTCCTGTATTAATAATACTTTTTTTTTTCCATTCTATTTGCCTTAATGATGACAAAGTAAATACAGAATGTTTTGTACTTGATGACTTGTATACAAAGGATTTAGCATATGGACCTGTATTAGAATACAGTGCAGCTGTACTCAAGAAAAGGAAGATGCTGTTAAATTTTCTTTAAACTAGGACTGCTCAGCAGATTCACTCACCAGTTACACTGCTATTTAAGGTCCCGCTGTTATGATAAAAACACTTTCTTGCAATATTTCACTTTGCTTAGCAGAGTCATTCTAACATCAGCTGTGACTTCTAACATTAAATTTTGCTCTTTCTGATTTTGACAATTAGACAGCTGACCAAGTTTACACTTACAAAACCAGACATCAATAAGGAGTCTTCAATACAGAATTTCAGAAAGTCTTACAAATGGAATTATCATGCTTATTTTTAAGTTCACAATGATAGAAAACTGCTTCTACAGAAGTATGTTTCACTGAGAAAGTCATTAGTTAAATGCCAGAGCCTTGACATTATAAGCAAATGTAAAAGTACTACACTGCTGTTAGAGGGAAGATTTTAAGTGTACAACAATAAGGAAAACTACAAAGGGGAAACATGTAAAGATGCTTTTTGCCATCATATGTGAGTGCATCTGTGGATTTTAACTAGATTAATTCTAATTGAGTTGGCAGTCAACTGCAACAAATTTTAGAAAGAAACAAACAAATTCTTAACACTTGATGGAAAGCATGTATTAATGGGAAGTATATATTTGCACTACTTAAATCCATAAAATGCACTATAGTCAGGGAAAGTAAAAAAAAAAAACAAAACCACAAAAGTATACCTTTAACGTTTCGATTTCTTCTTTGTGTTCCCTCTTCAAATGCAAAATGGCAGCTTGGTACTCTGTAAAAATAAAATTAAAAAAAGTACATTCCATTAGAGTCAGAAAACAATGTGCCATCTTCAGCACAGTGTATTTCATACAACACCACTGGGTCCAGAATGTAGATGTAGGCTCTCAAATAAAAGACCTTTAACAATAGTGGTGGAAAAGAAAATCTGAACACGGTAATCAGCATTATTTTCTAAGGCCCCATGACCACATTTTCCATGGTGCTTCTAAAAGCAGAGGATAAAACAAATAGGTCTTCCAAACTGGGAGGTGAAAGTGCAGGGAAGATACATCAGACTCAAATAACAAGAGGAAACTTTAGTTTTGCTTAGGTTTGCAGGTAAATGTAGAGCTGATAGGATATTAAGACAGACATGCACATATGCATGCACCCACACCCCTGAATTCTAAAGAAACATGCATTAAATACAATGATTTAAATTCAACTGCAGACATACACATACTATACACAGTCAAACTATATAAGAGAGGAATCTCAAATACAGATGGAGACCTGGAAAAGTACCCAACAGCAAGAGACACAAAGAATTCTTTGCCTTAATTCTATCAGATGAAGATTAATTATAGAGTTTAAGTACCTTCACACAGTATTAAATAGCTCTTCCATTTAGCGACAATATAATGAAATCCAAAGGTATAACAAAATTGAAAGTATGAAACTTAAAGCCAGAGAAATATAAATCAGCAATGAAAAACTTAGGAGATCGGGCATTGATTACACAGGTTTAGTGATGGCTGTAATGTTAAATTGTAGATTTACCAAATGAAACTCTAGAATCTGGGTCTCATACTATAGTTTCCCCCAATCCTGGTATGGACGAGCCATGGCTATATATGGCTACATGAAGAAAAATAAGACCTTTCATTACAGCTGTGAGAAAACCTCTCTGTAAGAGAACCTCTCTTCTGTAAGACATTGGCCCAGAAGCTACCATCCTCCTAAACAAGCCACTGGACTTCATCCTTAGACCATCAAAGCCACACTTCTACCTGCTTCCAAATCAAAATTCATCCAAAAGTGTATTTCCAGTTCCCTGGCTTGGCTTCTTGACTAAGAAAGGAATCAAATCCTAATTTAAAAAAAAGACTGAATTTAGTCCAAAGTCTTTAAATTTTACTGTGAATGTTCTCTAACACTAAAGGGTTTGTATGGTCCCTGGAACATTAGAACCAATGAAACAGCATGAGAACATCAAAACATGGACCAAAGCACCAGATCAGTGAAATATTCCAGTGCTTTGGTGTTTTTTCTTTTCTTGTTTTCCTTCTTTCTTCTCTAGAGAGAACATGGAGGAAGGAGGAAAGGAAAGATAATCTGGTCATCACTCTGAAATCTGTATGACATGGAAGCTGTCAATAAAAAGCTATTGTTTTTAAACGCAGGTGAAGCTATATGCAAGCAGCTGAACTGATATACAAAATTAAAAGGAAAAGGGATTGATATTTTATAAGACACACAATTAAAAACTTGGGTGATTCCAACTACTAATAGTATCTATCTTAACTCCTCTTTCCTCTCTAATAGGCCTTTACTTAGAGCTTTCCAGTATGGGAAAATTGTCTGGCTGTTCTTCTGGAATCAAAACCAGTTAGGTCTACCGAGTTTTAGATTTCCTGCTGTTAATTCCTTTGTCTGGTTGATATTCCCTCTGGACACAGGCTCTGCTTATCCATTCACCTAAACAGGACTTAACAAAACAGCTGCCTCAGCTCCCCAGAAAAAGTTGTGACCCTTCTGGCACCTAAGCTGGTTAAGCACTCACTCAGTTTGCAGGGCCTGAACCTTACGAACATCCTGACTCAAGTTTAGGTCTTTAAGGTCACATGATAACTGAAGCAAACAGCAGACTCTGAAAATGCTGATAACAATCAGTTCTTAGTTTGGTTAACAGAAGGATACAGATCTCTCTTAACAAAAGATTTACCTTCTATGTGGGATTGCTCAGTGCTTAACGTTCTTTGGGCTTTGGGTAAATGACTCATAGTTCACATATGCTGACATAGACCTCCACTGATACCAAAAGTGTATTTTTCAACAAGTCTACGTATTACCAGCCCTCTTGCTTATTTTCTTATCTTGGCACAAATGTTTGTGCAGTCAGAGAATGACGGAAGAACCCCCACGGATGAAGCCTAACATAGCATAAAAAGTTAAAGAATTTTTTTTAAATTAAGTATATGTCATTTTTGTGACAGTCTGCAACATACCATTATTTTAATTTAAGTTGGCATGCATTTTTCATTACTTCTCCCAGCTGAAAGCTCCAGAATATGTTCCAGAAATTGCTCTGTTTAATCTTTGTTCTAAAGCAGAGATAAGATAGAGAGTAGCAATTCCTTTATGGCTTACTTATTCCTTTAAAATATGCTTAGAAATTACTAGATTATAAGAACTAATAGACCTAATTAATTACTTAAAACACTGCTACTGCATAAATTGATGCACTGTAACATATTTAATAGATTGTCTACTATGCAATAATCTGACATTCTACAGCATAGGCTTCTTCTGTTTCATTCTACCAGTATCTCTTTTTTAACTAGAAGAAACTATCTGTTGGATAAAAGCTGATACCCAGCAAAGTACTTTTAATTACTCTTAAGCAAACATTTATTTTTGTGTGTACTGTATCATAATGAAAAATATATCACATGACAATTATAGTTTTGTATGATAAAAAGTAACAGAATAATAAAATTTGAGTGGTTGTGTTACCATCTCTGGAGGTATTTAAAATATATGTGGTGCTTTAGGAATGGTTTAGTGGTGGACCTAGCAGTGCCAGGTTAATGGCTGTACTTGATCTTAGAGATCTTTTCCAACCTAAACAATTCTATGATTCTAAAAAGGAGCTGAAATTCTTACCAGAAACTTTCCAGAAAACACTCCAAAATGCAGTGAATTAAGCAAAAACATCTTACTTCAGGATTACTCGTATCACATATTCCTAATCTATATAGGTTTGGGGGCACAATGCAAAGGCTACTTTTGTTCCTATTTCTTCAGACCCCTGTGGTAAATTGGGAACTGACACGGTGCACAGTGGTGTGACTGTGAAATAAAAATTCTGTTTCATAGTGAACAAAATCTCTGTTGAGAAAACCCAACAACCTGTATCACCTGGCAACCTGTCTCAGTAGCCAAAGGAAGACGACATGTAAAATATTAACAGCCTGCAAAAAGGTAGTAGCACCTTTCCAGTACACTCTTCCAGCAACCTGATTTGTAATTCAGGACTTTCTAAACCAGAGAAGTTGTTTGTGTATTTAATAGTCTGCAAATGGATTCCTCTTCCATGAATGTGCATTGCTGATTTTAAAACTCCTGCAAGCAGACAATGTCCTGCAGCAAAGAATTAGTTGCAGGTTAGGTAAAGACCCTTTCATTGCTTTTGAATCTACACCTGTTATGTTCATTTGATGTCACCAATTCCTGTGCTGGAAGAAACAGTGAAGTTCACCATTTACCCATTTGCTGTTTCTTAAAATTTTAGAGATCTCTATCATATGTCTCCTTGACTGATTCTTTTCCAGTTGAAAGAATATTAGTCTACACAGGCTTTCCTCATAACGAGCACATTCCATATTGACTAAAGTTGCCATCCTTCCCTGAACATTTTATAGTTCCACTGTACCCTCTAGGAATTGACAAAACCAGAGTTTCACATGAAATTCAAAATGTGGACATTTATACAATGGCATTATGATGATCTAGAAGATTTTATCTTCTATTTCTTTCCTACTACTTCCTATCACTTCAGTTGCTTTTTGATCACTACAGAGCACAGAGCCGGCATTTATTTTAACATCAATGTCTTGATTTTTAGAGAGTAATGATCAGATCAGAGTCCATTATTCTCTATATCTTATATATATATATATTTAAGATTATATAGATACATATATATTTTTAAGATTCTTTTCCTCTATATTTTGGATTTCCTTTGCCATTTGACTGCCTAGCCCCCTAGTCTTACATTTCTTTTTTTTTTTTAATTCTCATGAAAAAAACCCTGCAAACTCCCCTTCTCAAGTCTCACTTTTCCAGTTCATTTATGAATATGTGTAGAGTGTAGAGTTGCAGAGTGTTTGCACCCTCAGCAAGTTTCCTGAAGATACAAAACTGGAAGGAGTGGTTCATAAGCTGTAAGGTTTTGCTGCCATTCAGAAGGACCTTGACAGGCTGGAGAAATGGGCTGACAAGAATCTCATGAAGTTCAACAAGGGGAACTGCAAAGTCCAGCACCTGGGAAGCAACAACCCCAGGCACCAGGACATGCTCGGGACTACCTGGCTGGAAAGCAGCTTTGCAGAAAAGGACCTAGGGGTCACCAAGTTGAACATGAGCCAGCAGTGTGTCCTTGCAGTAAAGGCAGCCGTGTCCTGGGCTATGTTAGGAGACCTCTTGCCAGCAGGCTGAGATAGGTGATCCTTCCCTTCTATTCAGCACTGGTGAGACCACACATGGAGTAGTGTGTCCAGTGCTGGGCTCTCCATTGCTTGAGAGATATGGAGCTTTTTAAATCTAGCTCTATATATACATTCCAATATGCACAGTACATAAATGTTACCTCTTGTAAAATTATAATTGTACTTTTTTGTATTGTTAGCTTGAAACATTATTCTCTACCATAGATGAATATAATTATGATTAAACCAAGAAAATTGGGAACAATTTCCATAATTAGTAAATATATATTCTGGTAAAAAGAAAATAGATCTCTGATTTTTTGAAAATCTGAAGGTTGAGGAAATGTAAAATTTGCCACTTCCACAGGGTGCCAGTTTTGTACTCCATTAATAACCTTTGTCATTTTTCTTTTTTCTTTTCTTTTTTTTTAATTGAAGTATAATTTACCAATTTACGGCTATTATTTTCTTTTATTCTGCATGCGAGTTTATCTCATCAGGTTTTAATCTAGATTTTTATTTTAATGCAGTTTTTTGTCTTGTCTTTTTCCTAATGATTGTCTTGTTAAATTTTATTTGA